CCAAATGACGGCTGGACGGTTCGCTGGGAAAAGCCTTGCTCATAAGGGTATATTTATTTAACTAGGGGCTTACTGACATCACCCAGCTTACATGCGGGTGCATGCCTCCCAAAATTATATTAAAGGATAAAATTGTAATATATCTAAGTTTAATTGTTTGTAAATTTTGTAAAAATTGCCCATGCCACCCCGTTAGTTTGGAGGGTTAAGCTGGATCAAGTCCGTGTCAAAATTCTTTGAAACTTTGCAGGAAAAATCAATCTTCCTTTGTTTCTCTGGCTCCTTGTTTAGCCCGATGATCAGATTTATCTAGTGCCCCCAGGTCTGCTGGAGCAGCTCTTTGAAAATAACACACAAGTAGATTTTTATCTGAGATAAATATCGCGTTCGATACACTCAAGACAAAAGCTACCTGTGAGCTGAAGGGCACTCTATCCTCTAATTAAGAGGTAAAGCAAGTTCCAGCTAGATGGACGATTAAGATCGGACTTCAGATGGTAACTAGTATTGTTAACCTCAGTTCTGTGGAAGCAAACGAGAAGGGTGTCAGAACAATGGTGCATATATAAATTATACAGAGAATTTGTACATTCAGGTGACGCTAACTTATAATCGAAGGGGATTTTCGATAATATTCCTTGAAAAATACACTAGATTTATAGAGAATAATATCATGGTTGGCCAAAAAATTATATACGCACAGTGTATCCGTGCGTATGCCTGGTTACGCCCCTGTCGCAAACCAGCAAACCATATCCTGCTGACTACATGAAAATTGCCTTCTAGCATGGACAAAAAGTCCAAGCTTCTATGCTTGCTTGGATGGCTGACGAATATACAGTAACGAAGTCCCTTGAACTAGTGTGGAAATTGGCTTATTGTCGCGCTCAGATCGCTCACTATCTCCCATTGACGATCTTCCAGTCCCTTGAACGAATATAAAAACTGCCTTTTCGGTTTACTCTAGATTACCTATCTCTGGCGTTTGTTTGAAGATGGTTTCAATGACAAAACGTACACGCTTTTCAAATGCGTACATTGACGCAACTATGCGCCAGGAAATCAGTTGCTGCTGCTTGTTAAGATTGGGTTGCCTGAGCGAAAAAAAAAAAAAAAACGGCCCTGCATCCCCCCCCCCAAACCTAGTATATATTTGATCGCAGACAACAATCAGCGGTCATCTTGGTCGCAGCGCACGACGGAGAGCGACCGTAATACACAGTCCGGCTGCCGTGGCGAAGGCTACCTGTGCGCCGCACATACCGATCGGCGGTCGTAGTGGCCTCTCCGCACGGAGGAGAGGCCGTAGTGCCGAGGCCGGCTTCTGCAGGCCGGCCCTTCGGCTACGTATGCGTCGGAGACACCGACGCGCGAACGGCGAGATGAGGACGCATTCGCGCGTAAAGCTCCGCCCGACTTTAACGGTAAAGGCAACGAACCTGGTCGCGGAAGACACTTATCGCAGATGAAGGCTACCTGCACGTGCGCCATAGACACTGATCGGCTGTCGTCTCGGTTTCAGTGCACGGAAAGGAGCAACGGTAACACTTAGCTTCCATAGTAAAGGTTATCTGGCCGTGGCAGACGCTAATCGTCGGCCGTCTCTCCCTCTGTCCACTCCCGTTCTGAGCGCCAGGATCGTTTTTGAAAAACGACACTAGTTTCTGGCTGCCAGAATCGCTTTTGAAAAACGACACTACTGATAACGATGCTGTTTTGCGGCCCTAGACAACAGTACCGCTCTATCTATGGGCCATACACAGTGATCGGGTGAAAGTACGTGTATACCTTTGGTCGCAATTACCGACACTCACACATCATACATTATGGTAACTCTAAATAGATC